GAAACTTGTCCAAATGACATGATTTCACCTTTTTTGTGATTTATCTACCTGACTGAGCTGTCAAAACTTTTTATATATAATCAGGGATGTTGTAGACTTGCAGAGCAGCCAGGTGTGTTGAAGCAGGTAATCATGTAGAAACAGGAAACTGTTTTCTATGGTTTTAACTGGAACTGCAACAACGATGACATTTAACAGTTTCTGTGGCAACATAGACCACAGCAACAAGACACGAGCGCTTGTGGACGTGTTGAGAGCTGTGGCTGCACATGATACGTACAAGAAATCATTTTTAAAAATAGTCTCCAGATCCAAGTAATCGTACAACAAACAAAAAGTGTAACGCTGAAATTATTAATTATTAATTATCTTCGTAATTTATATTCTACAGAATCAGTGAATGGCTGCCATCTTTTTTTTAAATCTTTTTCAGGCTAAAAGAGATAAAAGTGTGAAAATATGACTTACTGGACTGGCTGTGCATCTGGAAAATATTTAAATCCATCCATCCATCCATCCACCCATCCATCCATCCATCCATCCATCATCTTCTGCTTCTTCCAAAGTCAGGTCTCGGAGGCAGCATCAGATCAGTGAGGTCCAGACATCTCTTTCCACAGCCTCCTCTTCCAGCTCTTCTGGGGGTGGGGACCACAAGGTGTTCCCAGGTCAACTGAGAGACGTTGACCTGGGTCTTCCCCAGGGTCTCCTTTGGACATGCCGGAAGCACCATAGGGAGGCGCCCAGGAAGCATCAGATGCCCGAACCACCTCATCTGGTTCCTTTAGATGTGGAGGAGCAGCAGTTTTAATCCGAGTCTCTCCTGAGAACTGAACTTCTCACCCTGTCTCTAAGGGAGAGTCCACCCTGCGGAGGAAACTCATTTCAACCTCCTGTATCCATGATCTCTTTCAGTCACTACCCAGAGCTCGTGAGTCGTGACCATAGGAACGTAGACCGACCAGTAAAAAGAGAGCGTTGCCTTACAGCTCAGCTCCCTCTTCACCACAACGGACCGGTATAGAGACCACAATACTGCAGACACTACACCGTTCTGTCAGTGTCACGCTTCATTCTTCTCTCACTTGTGAACAAAACCCCGAGATACTTGACCTCCTCCACTTGAGGCAGAATCTCACCCTCCACCTAAATCGAGCAATCCACCCATTTCTGACTGTACTTTTTTTTTTTTTTTTTTTACAATTGACGATGAGTTACTTTTGCCACAGCAGTCATGATTGTTAATATTGCTGTCTCTGTGTGATAATCCAAACAGGTAAAATCTACAGAACAACGAGGCGTGTTCTTCAAAAAAGCTCACAACTGGTAGTTTAATTGTTTCACTAAAACTTGTTTAACTTCAGACACTGCAAAGTATCAAAAACTTTATTTTCTGATGGAGATTTTCAATTTATTTTCTTTTTTTAATCTTTAGCTTTGTTCTCTTTTGACAAGACTGCAGAAAGTGGAATATCATCCCAACATTTTTTTTATCTAAAGTTTTATTGGGATGGATGGATGGATGGATGGATGGATGGATGGATGGATGGATGAGCTTGGATGCCTACTTGGATATGAAACTTCAAGTAGGGATGTTTTTCTGTATTTATTAATATTAATTTTTGACTAATGTGCACTTTAAAGTACGACTAATGATAGAAAACATGCCTGATCTGAATATATGTGACAATGGTCCTCCCCCACTTCAATATTATTTGACTATATGATACAACGACCTGCCTTACGGGTCTTCTTTGAAGCTGATGCTGAGCTGCAGCAGCTCGGAGAGATCCTGAACTTTAGAGCTCCTCCCCTGAACTTCCATTCTCCTAAATCATAAACTTTCTGTCCTAAAACCACATCAACAGCAACTTCTTTAGTTACAGTAAGTGTTGTTAACTGTTAGTAGTCAGTGTAACTAACACGGTCAGTAATGTAACGGTACTCGAGTCTTCTGCCTCAGCTCAGCTTCTTCTTCGTGCCTTTTGTTGTTTCAACTCGGCTAACTTTTAGCCTAGCTGTAAAACAAGCTTGTAAGTTTTATGAAACTTTTACAACAGCGAGATGAAAAGTTGACAAGCTGGAAGTAGGTTTTTTAATCACTTTTAACTTGGCTTATTTCGTTAACTTTGTTTTTAAGTTAATCTAAAGTGAGCTAGCGTTAGCTTGCTAACTTGGTAGCGCCGTGATTTTGGCTTGAAAACACGAGTGATGCTAATCTCAATTATTCCAAGTTTACTGCAACTCTAGATTATTAAACTAACCTGAGGAGCCTAGTAAGTTTATTTTGAACAGTCGAATAGTGTAATGCTTCATTGTGTTATAATTTAAAGTTGGTCCATGTTTTGTTGTTTATTTGTCAACACAAGGTCAACAATGCGATGAAATGTTCAGGATGACAAGAACTGATTTGACTCGCTAAGAAACAAAAACAAGAAACACTAAAGCATGCAGGAAGGGTACAAAATAAAGTACCAAAAACTGAAAAAGTACTTGTAATATTTACAAGGTCCTGGAGAAAAATGGTAAACAACAACAACATGTAGAATGTAACTGTGCAGGACGGATGAATTAGTATTTCACAGGTAGTCATATTGTTTATATTGCACATACCAGGTTGTGTGACAGGTTATTGCACAGAGAGTGAGTAACATTGAGATTAATTGAATTATGATGGTGATGTACATGTGCAGCAGCAATAAACATACAGGTGCCGGCCATAAAATCAGAATATCATGAAAAAGTTGATTCGTTTCAGTAATTCCATTCAAAAAGTGAAACTTGCATATTATATTCATGCATTACACACACACTGATATATTTCAAATGTTTTTGATGATTATAACTGACAACTAATGAAAACCCCAAATTCAGTAAACTACCTGTGCAATAATCTGTCACACAAC